AACAATGCAACAATGCCTGAGACCATGACCTCTTCAATTCTGGGCTAATTATTTTGCTATAATATAGATCCATAGCCCTTTTAATATTTTGAGACCAGCAGATGGCATAATGGTTATGGGGCTGGAATCCCACGTAGTCAACCATGGTTTGAGTCCTGAACTCAGCAGCTTAAACTCATGCCAGGCACGTGTGCATACATGCCCAAAATCCTGAGAGGAGAATGGAGGATAAGGAATTGCAGCATGGCCATCTCCCCAGGGAGGGGTGATTTCTCACCTTCTGTCTCTGTCTGGCAAGCACACAAGTCCTATAGCAAAAATCTCTCTTAAAAAAATTCTTTTTTTACGCTGTGAGAGAATATTTTAAAATTACTTTTGAAAGAGGTATAAGGGTAGATCTGAAAAGCCATTCTTTTAAAAAATTATTTATTTAATTTTACATATTATTATTTTTTAAAATTTGACCAGAGAGAGACACAGAGAGAGAAAGAGAGAGAGAGAGAGGGAAAGTGAGAAAGCAAACTGCTAGGTCCGGGACTCAAACCACACCCAGCCATGTGGGAGTCCAGTGCCATAATCACCATGCCAGCTGCTGGCCCCTGAAAAGCCATTCTAAGTAACTTAATTAAAAATAAATAAATAAAAATAAATGTACCAGAATGTGTATACACTCACCAGAGAGAGATAGAAAGAGAGAAAGGGAAAAAGAGAGAGCGACCCCCATGGGGGATGGCTACGCCACACTCCTGTCTCCTCTATTCTCCACTCAGGATTCTGAGCATGAACGCACACACTCCTCACATGTTTCTCAAGCTATAAGGTCTAGGACTTGACCATGCAGCTGGTCCTGTGGGAATCCAGAGAGCTTAAGTACCACTCCACTGACTGGCCCAAAGTACTTCATTTCTAAACTCTGACGCTCGTTTTGTTTCGCAAAAGTTGGGAAAAAGGAATGTAATAAAAAATGAAAGAAATCTTGCCCAGAGGATGACCAGCCTCTCCTCAGATGTCCGTCAGTGACGCAATTTTGATAAAGAAAATGGTGACCCAGGACAAATTTTCCAGTATACGGCTGTGTATAGGACAGAACCCAGACACCTTAATTACATCAGACTACACTAGATCTCTCATTTCTCTCCATCTCTCAGGCCTCTCAGAGAAAGAAATGAGATAAAACTCTTCTTCTTTCCAGGCTTCCTCTTTCCACATTTCCTCTCCCTCTCTCCTCTTCCCCATATTCAAAACAACGACAATCCAAGTCCCAAACCTCCATGTAATTCTCTGACCCAAACTCTCTGGGGAAAGCACAATGGTAAGTGTGCCCTGATGCCTCCCAGGTCCTTGGGACAACTACAGAGACAGCTGAAGTCTGGCGGGATGTCACTCTGCTTGGTCCTGGGGAGAGAACCAAACATACATTCCCAGAGGACCTGATCTCAGTCACGACATATCAAAATGGAAAAGGAAGTGGCTGGAGATGTTCTAAGTGACCTTGCTCTTCAAGTGAGATGCTAATTTTTGTTTTGTTTTGCTTTGCTTTGAAGTCAGCCAGTGAATAGATAGACATATACACAGAGGAAGCTGTTGCCTGCTTCCTAGAGTGAAGAAGAGTTTAAAATGGAGCCCTGTGTGAATATTAACTGGGAGTACAGGAGTCTGGGTTCTGTTCCTAATGGGCCTCTATTTCCTCAACTGTAAAATGAGATGGTAGAATGAGATGACCTCTAGAAGAGGTTGGCCAAGTATTAGAAGTGATCTTGAATTGCTTTCAGGTCCATCATATCCCTTGAAATGTACACAAAACAGTGTGTGTGTGTGTGTGTTTATGTGGGTGGTTCCACTAATGATGTCTGCCCTGTCCTCATTAAGAATCTTCTAAATTTCATCTATGTGACTTCAATTTTTAATTTCTTCATTTAGCACTTCAGGATACCAAAATTGTAATTTTCTTTCAAATGTGTTCCAACAAAAATAAGAAATGTATGTACTTTTTAGCACTAATCCTCATACAAGCTGAAAATTAATCTTATCTGTAATTAATTGATTATAAAGTAATTTATCCAAAAAAAGCTGTAATTTTCTATAGTTTCTGAATGGCTTCAGGTTTAAAAAACAGGACTTACCATTAAAACAGTTGAGTAATACTCATATAGCCTTAAATTTACATGCATGAAAACACAGATTAGAAATATTTTATGTCTCTAGTAACAACTTTTTTCTTACAAACACTAAATGTCAGTTACAGGTAACATATACATTTTTAAGGAAATCTGAAATGGTCTTGAAGAATAAATTGCTTTGAAATCCTAAATAATTCACAAGTTTATTTCTTTTGGGAAAATGATCCATAAACTACTTTATTTAAAATAATTATTTTATTTATTCATTTATTTATTTTAATTTGACCAGAGAGGGACAGAGCAAGTGAGAGAGAAGGAAAGTGAGAAAGCAATCCTCCAGGTCTGCAATTTGAACTTCAGTCAGCCCTATGGGAGTCCAGTGCTCTTAACCACCATGCCACCTGCTAGGCCCAGTAAACTGCTCTTACAAACCAAGGATTGGTCATTTAGATTCTGGTCAAGGCCACTCCTTCGCTGTTCAACTATGAGAACCTGTAAATTTATGCTTTCTTTGAAATTATTTTTAAAATTTTATCCATTGTTACCATTTTTTAAAAATTTTGCTATAGGACACATGCACTCACCAGAGAGAGAAAGAGACAAAGAGAGAGAAGAAAAGTGAGAAAGCAAGCCACCAGGTCCAGGACTCAAATCGCAGTCAGCCACGTGGGAATCTAGCACCTTAACCACCATGCCACCTGCTGGCTCCCTTTAAGTTTATTTTTATTTCTGTGGCCTTTATTTTCTGTTCCCTAAAATAATTAATAAATAAAAGAATTTGATTTTTAAGTAGGTTTTCCCCCTACTCTGATAGCGATAGCAGTTTCACAATGTGTATTTCATTTTCTTATAATTTAAAAAAGACAAATTCCACTGGGGCCTGAAAGCATTTTAGAATTTATCCAACTGTGTAGAAACCACCATCAATGCTGGCTAGATGGTTAAATTGTCTTGGCCTGGTTCCCAGAGTTCCCCAAGCATTAAGCAATATCTGTGAGTTAAGTCCGTCACCTTCGGAAGCTGCAATAACTCTGATTCGCGCTTGTCCCACTTAACACACCACCCTACGGTAATATATACATATACATATACATATATATATATATATGTATAACATGAGAAAGTTGGTTCTTCCTCAAAGGCACCATATTTTTAACTTAGGACATAATATCTCTGGGATGTTGTCAACTTCAAATCTCTCTGAGAGGACTGGTTGCCTGATCATTGAGCATGTATTCTTCATTGTTTTAAAATTTTTTCAGGTGTCATTACTGTTTTGTACCAATGTGGTTCATTTCACTGAGATAGCTTGACTGAAGAATTAGATGATGTACTTTTAAGAGGAGTATTTTCTCCTGAGGTGAGTAGAACACGTTTCATAAAGACCACCGCTTCCCCTGTCTTGGCCATCATGATTCTACAAGCCATAGGAATGCTAGTCCTGAATGCTCTCCTTACCAGCAGGAGTGCCAGCATGCAAGGGCAATGAGGAGGTCCAGGAATTATACCTGTCCCACTTGCAGTCGTGTGCTTCATCATGTAGACTCACAGAATTCTATACAAGTAGGGACGAATGGTGAGGCAGCAATAAAGCAAGACACTACGAGGCCGACTCAACTGGGAGAGTTATCGATTCAAGACCTAAGTGTACCCTGAGTACATGGGCACACATGTGCCATGAACTAGGCTGGCTGGAGACAGAAATGGATTGTGGCATCAAGACCCTGTGAGGAATGATATGTTTCTAGCTGTCTCTTTCTCTCTCTGGCTCATGGAATAAACTTTAGAACTCTACAAAAGTCAGTATCTAAGAATAAAAGGTGTCTGAGACCAGCAGATGGCATAATGGTTACATTGCTGGACTCACATGTAGTCAACTGTGGTTTGAGTCCCGGATCTAGCGGCTTAAAACTCACGCTGGGCACATGTGCGTGTGTGCCTAAAATCCAGAGGGGAGAATGGAGGAGGAGGGATTGTGGCGTGGCCATTCCCCCTGGGGGGTTTCTCGCTTTCTGTCTCTCTGTCTCTCTCTGTCTTTCTGGTGAGTACACATGTCCTATAGCAAAAATCTCTCTAAAAACTAATAATAGTAAAAAAAAATAATAATAATAAAATAAAATAAAGAGTAAAAGGTATCTAATCAGCTTACCCAAATCCATTACCACCTGATTTTACAGATGGCAGAGGGAGATGATGGGAGGTAACAGATTTTCTTAAAATCACATTGTTTTAGGTGATTGTGGATTCTGGACTTTTCTGAATCCCAGTCCAGTGTTCTTATGACCGTGTATGATTTATGTACAGAGCTTGTGAAAAACGAAACTACCTAAAACTGCTCTGTGTACTCAGTCACCAATAAATGGCTTCTGTTATTATTTGCCTAAATAGTTTCTTACACCTACATTGTTTTTCTAAAAAAAAAAAAAAACACAAAAAAACAAAGCTACAAGTACACTATTAATGTTACAAAACAGCAGATTTGCAGGTCTTTTTCTTTTTTAAAACCAACAATATCCTAATTGGTTGTGGCTAAATTGCTTCAGCTAGAGACTAAAATAATGAATATGCTCATATTCAAGCAGATGGAAAATATTTGGAACATCTCAAATTTGCATTAAAATAAATGTTTGAGAGGCTTTCAGGTGATGTGGAGGCTAGGGTGCTGGACTCTCACATGGTCAACCACAGTTCAAGTCTCAGACCTGGTGGTTTGCTTTCTCACTTTCCCTTTCTCCCTCTGTCTCTATCTGGTCAAATTAAACAAAAACATTATAGCAAATAAAATTAAATAAATAATTCTTTAAAAACTAAAAGTAAATGCTTAAAATGTGATATACTTAGATTGTTAAGGATATTTTGTTTACTAATTATTTGGGTTAGTGTTCGGCTTGTCCTGATCTTTTAAATCGAGCCTCTCAATGCTCAAAACAGCTGGCTGCTCTTCAATGTCAAAATACACATTTTTAATGAATGTTTCTAATGCCATAGTAATGTTAGAGAGATGCAGCATCTCCTTTTAATTATTAAAAAGAGATCCGTTTTGGTGCCAAATTACAGAAAGACACAGTTTCAGGGGCAGATTGGAAATTGAATACACCAACATAGCTGCTTGGAAAAAAGGAATGGTATATAATCTAATATCTTTAATTTTATGTACATGAATATAGCGTATGTCAACTTTTTACAGGAGATACATACAGTATTTAAACATTTTACTCAACAAATAAGAATTTACAATAGCAATATAACTGATGGGAGCTGGGCACTTAATAATACTTAGATTAGATTTGTACTTTAACAGGAAAAGAACGCCATAGCTTACAATCATAGAAACACTGACATTTAAAACAAGACTTTATAAAATAATTTATATATATATATATCCTAGCATCTATAGAGAGCAACGATTTGCATTTGTGGATGTGTGCAATGAACAGCATATTTAAAATTTTTAGATAATAAAATAATTTAGAAGCAGTTCATGCAGTGGTCAAAGCAAAGGATGGCAGTTCCTCCGAGATGTCCTCTCTCTTTGACACCAGCCAGTATCGGACACGCACTGGGTGCCATAGGGCACCCTAGAACGAGTCTCTTCCAGCAGTCTGTTATATAAACATCAATATACACATGTTGATATCCTTTCTTCCACAGTACAAGCACAGGGCCCAACTTCTCTCAGCTGCGGGAGTAGTCAGTTGATACATAAAGTGATTTAACGTCCCTCCTGGAGTTCTCCGCCATGTATCTCTATTCAAGGGAACTAACAGAACTTCCTGGTTTTCACAACTTTACTCTGATATTTCACGGAGTGTCCCCCATGTCCTATGACATAAACATCCAGCACGTAAGATCTGCCAGGCTGAAGCCCTTTAATGGTTTCTGTGGTCACTGCTTTCTGCAGGTTTTGACTATGGAAATACTTACACAGGACCTTTTCTGATTTCTTCCTTGTGTCTGGTCCTAGGCATTGGTTCTGCTCTCTTTTCTTTTGGTCTTCATTGTAGTTATCATCCACTTCTTTTTTGTAGATGCAAAACTTGTTCCTTTCCTGCGTGCCTAGCCATGCCACAGTGGCCGACGAACAGGTGCGGAGCTTGTCGAAGGCCTTGATTCTTGTGTCTTCAGGAAGAGAAGGAAAGGCCTGCTTGCTGGGCCGTGTGGTGGCTAGGATTTTCAACACGGATGCGCCTTTCTTGTTTCCTTTCAGTCGAATGAGATACTTGGCTTTCGGTTTTCCTCTTACCTGGAACTGCCGAATGCCTTCCACACTGTGAGACAGGAGGAGTTTCCCATCTCGTCTCACTTGGATCTGCACCGCGTCCAGGCAGGAGTGGACAAAAAAGGTGACTTTTTGGTGAGAAGAGACTGGAGCAAACCTCAGAAACTTGGCTCCCTTCCTTTTAACAAATATATCTGTAACTTTCCCATCTTTTAGCTCAACTGTCTTTTGTTGAGCTTCTTCCTTGGTCCTGGCGAAGGTACCGACATAAGCCGTGCTCATGTTGCTATGGGTGTTGACCACAAAGACGTCGAAATAGTACTGAGTGTCGGGCTTCAGATCCGAGACAGTGAAGATATTCTTGTTTCCGATGCAGATCTTCTGAATGTCCACCTTGGGTCTTGCGTAGACATGACGCCCCAGTTTTGGAGAAGGTTTTGTGAGGAAGTTGCGTTCTTTACTCAAGTGATCTGAAGGAAATCCAAAGTGAGCAAAGTCAAAGGGGCTGAAGTCCAGACCAGGTTTGGGCGCCATCATGAAAGCATCGTCCGCACTCAGTTTTGCTTCCACGGCACAGAGACTTTTGAAATTGTGCTCCTTGTTAATGACCACGCAGTACTGGATGGGTTGCTTCAGCAAAGAGGCTGTGGGGCTTGGTTTCCAGGCCAAAGTGACCGTGGTGCGCCCCAGAGAGGTCACATCTACTCGTGGGTCATAGGGTAATTCAGGGTATGGCTGATCGGACTCTGGGGTTGTGGTGGCATATACTTTGAAATGTGTGTCTTTCTCTGTTGAAAGAAGCTCCAGCTGATAAAGGCCAGATGGAGAACTGGAAGATACAAAATACTCAACATCATTGCCCTTGTAGGCAAATAACTCAGTGCCTTCCTCATCCGTGATCTGCTGTTGCTGCTGCTGCTCCAGCGGTTCGGGATCACCTGGAAGACACAGGAGAGGCATGGGCCACATGTCAGGACACACGCTGGGCTTGCCAACCTTGATCTTTTTCCTTGAGAGTTTTTTTTTGGCTAGAGAGCATGTGCACTCACCAGAGAGACAGAAATCAAGAAATCACCCTCCAGGGGAGATGGCCATGCCACAGTCCCTTCTCCTTCAGTCTCCTCTTGGGATTTTGGGCATGCATACACATGCGTCTGGCTTGAGTTTCAAGTCACTGGGTCCAGGATTTGAACTATGGTCCACTATGTGGGAGTCCAGCACCCTAACCACTATACCACCTGTTGGTCCCCCTTGGTCATGTTTTTAGCTTATCTTTTTTCCCTCCCTCCATTATAAAGGTAATATACACTTATAGTAGAAAATTGGAAAATAGAGAAAAACAACATGGTGAAGAATAACCCAGGGCCAGCCCCATAGGCTGATGGTTAGAGGAACAAGAACCCACATGGCTGATTGTGCAGTTCACGTCCCGTTACAGAGGCTCAAGAAACACTCTGGGCATGTGTACATGCATGCCCCAAATCCTAATGAGATGGAGAAATGGAGAAGGGTTTATCATGTGGCCCTGCTCCTTCTGGGGCTGCTTTCTCCCTCTCCCTTTCTGGGTCTCTGTCTCTCCCAGTGAGCTCATGCACCCTCTGGCAAATCAAAGTAAATAGCCCAATAATGCATTATAGATCTAGTACTTTATTACTACTGAAACTTCAGCAATTGTCATCCAGTCTTTTCCTTTATATGTTTTTATACAATTGACAGCGTTCTTTCTGATTTTTCTCTGCAGTATAATAAAGTTTATTGTTACACTTATAAGTACCTAGGCATATCTCTGTTTTATGAGTCTTGTTTTTCTCACTTGATATTATATTACAAAATAATACCATTGTTCAATTTTTGAACCTTCTAAATAATGTCATTATACACAGACAATGTTTTCCTGAATTTACACTATTTCTTCAGGATAAAATCTGATTCGTTGTAATGTTTAGGTCAAAGACTGTGAACTTTTAGATCGTTCAACCTGACTATCGAGTCTGTTTCCAAAAGGATTTATTGTATAATTTGTTTGCGTTTTGATGGCCAGCTATTTCACGATAGTGAGCGCAGCTGGATAACCTGATCCCAACACAGAATATAAAGCACAGTAAAGGTATTTACTGTTCAAGACGTAGAACACACACATGTTCAGGAATAATAGAGGGAAAGTATTGGAACCAAACTAATGTTTTCCACGTTTTATTCATGCTCCTATCAGCAATCACACAGCAGATATAACTTTCCAGGACTTGGTGAAGGACTGAGTAGCCAGTGTAGGTATAAACTTTTCTGCTTATCACCGCAGGTTGAAAGTGAAATATGTAGAATTTCATAAAAGCAAAACCAGGAGATGAGCACAGCAGTCACAGGGCTATTAACATCACAATTCATTCTGACTCAGTCACATCCTACTCAAATGCTATTTCTTTTTTTAAAAAGAATTATTTTATTTAACTTTATTTATTATTATCATTATTATTTTCTAGTTTGATCAGAGAGAGAGAGAGAGAGAGAGGAAGTGAGAAAGCAAGCCACCAGGTCCGAGACTTGAACCATGGTTGGCCATGTGGGAGTCCAGCGCCTTTAACCACCATGCCACTTGCCGGCCCCAAATGCTCTTTCAATAGTTTCCTACTTCCAGCTTCGCCCCTCCTCATGCTTGAGCTCATTAGCATTCTGTGCAGGCACTGCTTGGGAAGCCTTTGGCTTTCACCTGTGATACCCTCAAAGGCAGCAGGTCACTCTAGGGCCCCAGACAGACCCTTCTCCGTTCCCACATTTCTTGCTATCTCCTTTCCATCGTCTTCATCTTCTTCAAAGGCCTAGCCCACTCCCCTGCCTTTCTTCTCATCTTGGCTTTTCACTGCTTTGAAATGCCTCTGGGATCCTGTTTGTTTTCACTCATCCTTCTGCAGAGATCAGAGGTTCTAACCTTAGCTGTTCATTAGACTCACTGGGGGATACTTTTTAAAGGCCTCGAGTTCAGGTCACATCCCACAGCAATTATAACAAAGGCAGGATCCAGGTTTCAGCAGTATTTTTAGTTTCCCAGGTGGCTCAAATATTCAAGAACATTTGGAAACCACAGCCATGGAGGCTAGTCCAAACCTCTTCATCCTCCTCAGTCCTTCAGCCCCTCCTCTCATCTTCCCTAATCTTTTATCAAGGTCAATGTCAACTAAGGCCATCTCTCCATTTCCCCCATCTCCAGCTCAACTCCTGGCTTGCTCTTGGTCACAGAAGATTGTATGTTTCCCAAGCCTTTGAACCATCACTTCAGAGGTCTAGGGCCAGGTCTGCCCTGCGCTTACCTGAGCTCTCCCCACTAGTCTCCTCTGGCAGCTCCTGGAGGCTCAGCTTCCACTCCAGAGGAGCGTCACAAGGAGTCACGGTGACCGATAATGGAGTGTTGTCTTCTTCAACCACAAAGAAGTACCTGTTGAGAAGTGGACCAGTTCAGACCAGTTCATTCTTCCTGACACTGATGAGCAAGAAAATACTTCGGTTCACAGATTTATTTTGCACATATACATATGTGTGATGTGTGTATATGTATATACATATGCGTGTGTGTGTGTGTGTATTACTATAAGGCACATCAACTCACCAGAGATAGGGA